AATTATAACCACCATTAAGTCAACCGAGGTCACATTTCACGAAGTTGATTTAATAATATAGAAATTCTATCTAAGACTCTGTCTCCAATATGGCTTCTTCCTACTAGCTCCTACAATCGAAGAAAGTGAATGAATTTCTACGTATAATTCTCGAACTGACATAGTGTCATACTGCTTCAGACCAGAACCAATATAACAACATTAGCTGACACATGCCAAATTAATGTCTCAAAATTATAAAGAAACTTGTTCCGTCATCTCTCTCTTTCTTGCAGGCCTACCTACTGGAGAATAACTAAATTTTTCGAATTCCATGTGATCTTTCATCAAAGTACGTTAGTAGAATAAGCAACTGTGTTAATAAAAACGTCAGATGACGAGCACAAACCATGAAATTCCACTTGAAATAACATTTTCATTAATGTTCATTAATACAAATTAAAAATACTTTCTCAATAATTCATTCCCAGAAGTCCCGAAGAAATATAGGCAAACTTTCTTTATATATAATGTACATCGTGTAAACACTAGTTAAACGGACACAAGACGAAAATTATATTCTGAACTAAATCATAATAAGCAATTACTCAAATTATGATGCCATTAATCGTATCATATGAATAGTTCCACCTGCCATTTGTGTATGTTAGGATCCTTCTAGTGCATGAGTATTTCAATGTCATAACGTTATTCTGCGACTTGACAAAACACCTGGCATTTTCATAGGAACTATTTCGTAACCGTTAAAGTGATTTTAAAATTGTCATGGCCAGAAAAGAAACAGCTGTTAATACTAACTGCAACTGCTACTGCACAAGCGGTTAGTCGCTGGCTTCCCACCACGGCGACCCGGGTCTCGTCAAGTGGGATTTGTGGTGGATAAATTAACGCTGGGGATGGTTTTCTCCGAGTACTTCGGTTTCCCCTGCTAATCTTCATTCCACCAAATTCTCCATCATCATAACCACTCGGGGAAGGCTACAATAGGCCAATCAGTGGTCGCCGTGCCGAGTAGACCTAGTTGGACTCCACCACCCAATAGGCGAAATTGCAATGGGCAGTGTAATCCTCCTTCATAATCGTTCGAAGAAATCCTCAATGAACGATTTTTCCAACATTTAATTTTGCAAGAGATGTACTTGTAATCTGGGGAGAACAATAAATCCAATTGTGTGTAAGGTCTACTCCGTAAAGAGGAGATTCGCGTAGCACCACGCCATATTGCTCACATCCTCCATAAGCCCATGGATCACAGTCATTCGATATAGCATACACAGAGTACAGTTTGAATATCTCGCCCCTCAGGCCAGCTGAATGATAGGCTATTCATTCTGGCATAAACGCTATTTGTACGAACACTGATATTCATTGTCGTAAACAATGATTCAGACTTGGCCTATTCAAATTACCAGGATTAAAACTTTTCCGGCTATATTTCAGATCTTCCACCCTTTGAAATTTATTGACAGAGGAACATCGGAATCGGATTTTCAAGTATTGTTTCTTGTTCTCACAATTTTGGGCTAGCATTATCAAATTCCTCTTCATCCTGTATCCTGTGACCCCGTGAACAAACAAATTCATGCGACCTCCATTGTTCTCGTTTGTTTTTTATAAACTCCCACCCGAGCAAGTCAGCTCAAGCTGTAACACTTCTGATTTGTTTTGGGAGGAACCCAGTTCGAATATCTGGCGGGACATTGGCTATTCTGATTGAGGGTTTTCGTGTTTTTTTTTTCTGTTCTAGACAACTGCCAGGATAGTATCTTAAATCAGGTCATGACAACTTCATTCCCCATTCATCCTAATTACGTATTATACACTTTCCTCAATCGTTTGGGGGTATATTGCCTGAGTTACAGACAACTTCGTTGAATGAACAGAAATAAGCGAATACAAGTAAGTTAACGCACAATATTCAAATTATATCACAAATATTCAGTTCATGACAGAGCCATCAAAATTACTGGAAAACTGCCTAATTTACACAAATTAAATATTAAAGAACTTCTGGGAAGAACCAACCACCTACTTTCCCTTAATACGACATGGACTGCATACAAAATGACGCCTCCAACAATTTTTCTTTGTCGACGAACGTATTTACCGAGTTACTATCTAGCAACGATAGAGGAATACACAGACAGATCCCTAGAAACATGCGTCAAACACTTCTACTGTTAAGCGTTTTTCTTTTTGCCGCGGGGACATGTTTACAGGGCCGTTGCCTAACAATGAAAAGAGGGACACACTTTATCGAGACTTTGCATACCAAAGATAGGATGCACGTACAGACCGATGAAATGGATTTATAAAGTACGATATTGAGATGGGCTCAGGTGGTATGACATATATACCAAGTTTCATAAAGACCGGTTCAGGCATTCAAAAGTTGATATGGGGGGATTCAAAGACATGCAAAGAGTTTGGTGAGTGCATAAGCCTACTTTCATTTTTTTTAAAATAAGGAAAGTATGCTAAAAATGCTTGAGTAGTTCGTTCAAGGGTTATTTAATGTCGCTGTATCAATGCAGTGAACCTGGGAATATTGAAAAGGAAGTGGTCGTGGCCAATTTCAAGACAGGGGAATCTTCAAAATTAAGTGAGGAAAATCATGAACATCTCTCAGTATAGCCGAAACTCTTGCGTAAGAATAATCTACAGGAAGATATCATGTTCAATTTTATTCAAAGCAAACAAAATGCCCTTTCTTTTATGTAGAATTATATTATCTCTTGACGTTGTATGTATGTTGCAAATGTTCTTATTTTGCATTCTAACGCCCTAGATGAAAGAGGCCATGGTGGACACAGAAAATGAAAAAAGGCGTCGCAAGCATATTTCGGACAGCGAGAGAGTGAAGTAGGATTCCAACTTAATTCCTCGGCTTTAGAAAAAGCCAAGGATAGCAATTGTGGAGTTCTGTTTTACAAGCAGAGGCTGCAGTAAGAAGATTAGCTCCTCGTACGACCTAACTGTGTGTTCGGGGATGAAGGTACTTCATGTTAAATTCAAAAGAAAGGACAGAAAACTCTGTCATAGCTCGTGTTTCAAACTTCTATAGTCTTGATACCATCTGCGGTCTTCTATGCAAGGCGTTGTAAAGGAATTTCAAATTCTCTGATGTATTTTTAAACGTTTATAAAATAAAGTGTAAAGCTAAAAAGGGTATTTAACCAAGCTAGTCCCAAAATAATGCGTTTGGAGAACATGTAAGCAGTTTTAGTGTATTCAGATTTTTTTATTGCTAGTGAGGTGGGTCTAAGTCCCTTGTATTGCGGCCACTTCTGGCCTATTGTACCAGCCCCAGATGATAGGTGGGGGTGATTTTGGAGCAATTGGTGGAATGAAGATTGGCAGGGGAAACCGAAATACTAGGAGAAAACCTGCCCCAGCGCCACTTTGTCCACCACAAATCCCACTTGACTAGACCTGGGATCGAACCTAGTCGATTCAGATAGTAGATGTGCCTGAACACCAATTCTTGTATGTTTTTTTTCAGCATATATAGTACTTTCGAAATAACAAATAATAGGTTGATATCACAACGGACTATTGCTCAGATACAATTCTGAAGCATTTAGCTAACGCATAACTATAGGTTTCTTTTGCTTTGAAGGGCCTTTTACAGTATCCTTTCTCAGTCTGTCTTTAACGTAAAATAAATTATAGTATGGTAATAAAATGAATCATTTTTGTGACACACGTGGCTATACTCGTACGTTCAGAATACTTGTATACCAGATGAAGTGACTTATGCATCTAACCATGTTACCTAGCGACTGAACTGAAATGGACATAGATTTCTTCATATATTGAGTCTATCTACCTCATATGGTGTTGTAGTAAGGACAAGGCAGGCAGGACGGGAGAAAACTGAGGGCAGAGAAGATTTATCGACCTATACATTCACCGAATATACATTTATTTTTATTCTAGTAGGACTATGTCTACAGAACTCCTGTATTGGTTCTAAGAGGACTAGTTTTTGAGACCCTAAGAGAACCCAAAATACATCTGAATATGATCCATATAAAGAGCAATACGATCAATTAATATCAGTTTGAAATGTGCATAATTTGAATTGTAATATCACTGTATAGTGACGAGAGCGGCAGTTCTTCGGCCGATATTTAAAATGTACTGAAATAAGGGAACAATCTTAATATCAACCCCAGGTCTAGATATTCTTGTTGACAAAAACAAATACTGAACATACAAAAATATGTCACTTATTTTCAATTATTTGTCTCCGCGAGGCCCATCGTGATCACTTTCCGTATTCGGCGACTGCCAGGCAAGTGCATGCGCAACGAGTTTCGGGGATTGGCTCTGCACCCGTCTTCAAGCGATTCGTTAGAATTATACAGCAGATTTTAATAAGGAGCTCTGCTGAAAGTCAAATGACGTTTCGGGAGGAACATTTCGCCTCCATGTAAAGCGTAAAAGAGTAAGATAAACAAGAAACCAGCGTGAAGGAAGTAGAAAGTTCTGTCCGTTGACTTGCAATAGATTACACGGGGTTATATCCTAGAAAATTTAATTCTTCACAGCGTCAGAGCGTCAGAGTTCAAAATATCGCGTAGAACATTTGAGAAAAAAATGTTGTACAGAATGCTTTAACCCTCGGAATTAAAGTACCTTAGATCTCTTGGCAGATTTTTTTATTTATTTCTTTTTCAATGCCTCTTTCAGCCGGTTCATGGCCCAGGCCTCTTATTCAGTTCCGTAATAATTTTTACACATATGATAGGACTCTTGGACGTGTTATCAACACGTCGCAATGCCGCTACCTAAACACGGGGCAACACAAACACACAATAAACGCATACACACGGCAAACATCCATGTCCTGAGTGGGATTCGAACCCACGATCTCAGCGTCCGAGCGAACGCAGACAGTTCATGCCTTAGATCGCGCGGCTACTGTGACAGGCTGGCAGAATAATTATAAAGGAAGAAGTAAAGGCAAAATTGCACTAAGTGTTGGGTTTACTCACCCTGTCTTGGCGAAGTTAGCCCAGTAACGCATCATCCTCTTGCTTAGCTCCACCTCACTCGGTTCGTAGTCCTTAGATGGATTCAGCGGCTCGCCGAAAACGTAGTTAATTTCATCTCCGTGCATGACGCCGGTCCAGGATGGCCACGGGTTGCTCACCGTACGATGTTTAAAGTAATACATGTACACATTATTCCCCGTCTCGGCGTAGCGGTGCGCAAATTCATTCACGTTGCACGTGAACTGGTAATCGCCCACCATTTTGTCCAGAGCATCACGGTTACTATTTGGATCGTCGGGGTTTAACCAGTCTGTGTACTCGAACACAATCGCCTGTCGCGCTATATTGTTGACGTAAGGGTTAAGTTCCCGGACCGATTGCAAGAACTCTTCTCGATTAACACGAATATCTTCCTCTTTTCGAAACAGCTGTGTTAAATAATATAATATGAAGTAGTAGCCCTCTTCTGTGTTACTCCCCATTAGAATGTTCGTCTTCTTGAAGTTCTTCTCCGCTAGTGACCTCTGAGGTGCTCCATCGATAATCGCCCCGTCAATTATCGGCACAAAGGGAAATTCACAGATACCAAGAGTTCCCCATTCATTGTTGACAAGATCCGTAGCGTTCTTACTTCTGAGACAGTCAATAACAGCTCGCATGTCTGATCGGCTGCACGGACACCCAACAGCTTCAGCTAGACGCAAACCACGGAGGATGCTCTCCTCACGACTGATAATTGCCCAAGGTGCCGTCGGAGATCCAGACTCCATGATCGCCTGACTGAAGAGGTTCCTGCTGAGTGGTGACAGCAGGTGCAAGCTAACAGACACGGCCCCAGCTGACTCACCGAACAGTGTCACGTTATTGGGGTTCCCACCGAAGGCCTGGATGTTATCGTGCACCCACTGTAGTGCCATGAGTTGATCGAAGAGGCCGGCGTTTCCAGGAACATCGCTCGTATCGAAGAACAGAAATCCAAGCGACGCGACTCTATACTGCATAGAGACAATGATAACGTTTTCTTCAGACACCAAAATTTTGTGATCGTAGACGTCAAGAGTGGCCGAGCCCGAGTAGAATCCTCCACCGAAGATCCAAACCATGACGGCGGCGTTGCGAGGACGTGGTTTCGGAACGACCACGTTGATATACAGGCAGTCCTCCGACAGAGCCGTGTTCGGGTTCCACATGAGGGCACCAGGAAAGTCACCGAAAACTGTGTCTATGATTTGGACACAGCTATTCGGCATTTTCGTGGCGTTGTAAATTTCACCATTCTGGTCCCAGCGGTCGACTGGACGAGGGTGGCGGAAACGTAGAGGTCCTATTGAAAACCAAAGATTATGATCAGAAATTATACGTCACAACTTAATGTAGGAGCTGCAATATGGTTAGCTGTGACTTGTTTCAAAATTCCTGTAGCAAACTACCAAATTAACGGAAAATATTTTTTCTTGAGACGTTGTTAATTTCTCAGCTGGACAAGACATTCACCTTCTATAGAATCTGAAAATTTATTTCTATGTTCCCAAGTGCCTGTGCTGGGCTCTGTCATGAGCCAGCTCAACCTAGTCAACGCCTTCGCAGCCTACTTCTTTAACATCCACTTCAATATTAAACTCTAAAATGTTTTCCCTTCAGGATTTCCGAATAAAATTGAATATTAGAATCTCATTTCTCTGATGCGTGTTAAATGCTCCTTGATTATATCACCCTATAACATTTTAAGTTTCTATAATGGAGGACAAAGAATTACAAAAGTATATCATAACACATATTCCGCTAATATTATGATTATATGCAACTGGTTCTTCAACCAAGAGGCTGTCCTTATTAGCAGTAAAATGAATTAATTATATCCAGGAATCCGACTACAGAAAAAGAAAACCTTATATCAAAACCTTGATGTATCAAACCCAGTCCGGTCCACATTATAAGATCGTAATTAGCTCTGAAAATTTACCTTCGAAATGGGCTTTCCCTGTGTCCTCTTTGCACCAGTTCACCCAACCAGAATATGAGATACACATCTTGTTTGTCCATTGAATAGCCAGACCCGTTTATTTAACATAGTTTGGAACATGACCTTCAGAGAGACGCCTTTCATTACGCTATTATCAGAAACGAATGTGTGATTACTTTTAAACTAACCATTTGCAGCATCCAGGAGACGAAATCTGTGAATTGTCGTGTGAGTATAAATATAAATACGGCACCTCTAGTGAAAATAAAACTATAAAAATATTAATTACAAATACAATTTAAGGGAAAACTATAATTAATCTCAATATTTCGTTATATAACTCTCATACATTTGTTTCTCCCTGGGTAAGAGACTGAATCTAACATCCATGCAGAAAAAAATAATTAGAGTCCATTATTTTAATAAATATCCGAAAATAGAATGTTTCTGAAAAGAATGATACAATGGGCTTCATAAATATACTTTGTTCTTAAATTCATCAGAAACCAGGCGGTATTATTGATCGTTTTAAGTTCTTGAACATTCCATAGGAAGCAAAACATTCTTTACTGCAACCATGTACTATGCCGGAGAATGTTCCTTTTTGTTTGCTGTTGAGACATTAGATATTTTTAGATTGATAAGAAAAAAGCAAGGTGACATGAATTCTCTGTTAAATGTGTTGCAGCAGAGGAAACTTACCAACGGGTTTCTGGGCGTAAGGAATTCCCAGCCACGCATCAACCAACTTTCCGGTCGCTGCAGTCAGCGTTATGCCCCTCACTCTTCCTTTCTTTGTCTCTATAATGAGGGGGTCGCCCTGACCTTCATTCACTCTCGATTCGTGAGCCAAATCCAAAGGATCATCACCGTGTCCAATCCGATCCCAGTCTATTGAATGTCTGCTTCCATACTCAACTGCAGGATCTCTTTTAGCATCATCCACGGGTCTACCGCGACCTACAATGTTAGGGTCACCCCGGTTCTCGTATATGGGATCTCCCCCACCATTACCGTAATGGGAGTGATCCTTTGCCAGATGCTCTCTTAGCCGAATATCTTCATCACCACTGCCAACAAGATCACCAACATCCATGCTTTCCACTCGCCCCTTAGTGTCACTGTGAACCACACCACGGTTCATGCCAGAGTCGCGACGCATTTCCGTCTCATCCGGCCCTACATACAAAGTATCGCTGTGGTCTGAATCTTGCCGTGTTTTGATACCACTACTCAGGAGATCATCGTCACGGTTCACGAATGATTCAACACCTCGATTCTTGTTATCACTGTGACTCACAAAATCACTATGTTCAGGACCTAATAATAAGGAATCATCTAGGTTCTTATTGAAACCTTTTGTTTCACTGTCGCGACCAGTGAAAACATTGACACTTTCCAACTGATCACCACTGGTACTCCTGGTATCTTCCATTCCCATGCTGAAGCTCATACTGTTGTCGCCCATGTTGTAGTCTGGTGACGCGGAATTCCCATGGTGCCTGCCGTGGTGGGACTGCTGCTGTGGCGCGCATAGAATCATGTGACCGCTGCTGACCAATAGCAACAGTAGGAAGTGTGGCATTTGCCTGAAGATGAGACCCAGAGCTGGGTGGTGGAGCTGGAGGTGATGCCGAGGTGGCGCCATCCTCGCGCAAGGGATCTGGGAAATAAAAACCATAGTAAGTACATCATTTTTTAGAATATAAGACAGTCATGAATTTCTCCACATTTTCGCTTATGTCCTCACAATCAATCAGGAGAAAAGCAAATAATGCCGTCTTCTGGGATGTGGTGCCGTGTATATCTTGTGTAAAGCGACGTTTCGGAGGAATGTATCGCCTCCACCTTCAGGTTAGAAAAATCGGCGAGCGAGGAACCAGCGTGAGCAGGTGGCTGTAGTCTACAGCCATATGCCCTTTCCGGTTAAAATTTCGCTTTAGTGTTATCAAATTCATATTTGTTCGACTAAATTCCAGCATTTTGAACAGAGTACATGGAGGTAGGCCTAGGCCCACTGGGGCTGCAGTGCCAAGGATAAAAAAATTTCCAGCATTTGCTTGAGAGCAAACTGTGCACGGGATATGGTCTCTTTCACAGCAATTAAAAAAAAAAAAGGACATCTTTTCAGCTTCTGTTTCTGCGAATACGGAATTTCCGTTTCATTGATCTCGGAAAGCCATTCTCTTTGAATAGAGTGTAGTTCATTTTATGGAGCTCGAAGAATCTTCTGTTTGTCATCTTGATATCATATTATAGGTCTGAATTTTCGTAGTGTTTATTTTGAGTCTATAACAACTATTAATATGCCAGATACAATGAATGCATTGCACTACTGGATTGCGGCTACTTACTGAGTACAAATTTCACACATACTCCTGTATCGCTGGCGTGTATACATAGCAGTGCTGCTAGTGCCACAACTGCTGAGATTAAAATCCGTTCACTGTTAGTTTTCCCGTGGCATAAACAAATCAAACTGTATCCATCAGGATAATGCTCGCGTCACTATACCCCTACCTTGTGCTGCATTTCGCCCCGCTAAGAGTAGTACCGTCATTTTGAATTAGTCGTGTGGACTAGCTGAGCATAAAGCCACGGTGAATACAAAAGGAACATAAGGGCGTTAATATCATGCACCGAAGGACTTATTTACTTGCCAACTAAAAATGACACTTAGAAGGTAAAAAAAACCGTAAAGCCATCCATGCAACGGGCCGTGAAGGTTGTAAGATATCAAGGCTCCCAAATTTTCTCTAGATAGCTGGTACACAGATGGCGGTAAGGCTATCAGCCTGATTCGCCGGCCGCCCTTTACCCTCCAGGAAGATTCCTGGAACTCATTTCTCATAGAGGTTGAGTCAACCCCAGGACCACAGTGCGGCTGGAAGGACTAGATAAACTAAAATTTTACACCTAATCGGGACTCGATCCCGCGACCTTCCGGCTTGTAACATAGTGCCTCAACCAACTACGGTACGTCGTGCCACAAAAATGACGCTTGCAGTTGTTAATACAATATCAGTAATTTGACGTGATAGAAGTATTGCGTCGTTTTGCTTTGTTATGCAAGTCTCCTCTATGAAGGTCCAATCCTTGGACACGTGCAAGAATATGGGTCTTGAATTCTGGGCGAAAGAGCTGTAGCTGCTTGCCAGAGGCGCGATGAAGTGGGTGCTTTCAGGGATCGCTGTGAGAATGCCACTCGTTCTGTCACAGTAATGGAAGAACACAGACGGTGAGGGTACGGAGGAAAGAGTATGGCTCGAAGAGAGATGAAGTAAGTGAGGATTGAGGAAATTACATAATGGGGAGCTTATAGTTCATGTGTGGGATATTATCAGGGTAACTCAATAGAGATTGATTGGGTGGTACATAAACATACATACGAGAAATGAAAAAAAAAAAAGTTAAATCTTAAGGGAAAATGTCATTTGGGAAACTTAAGAGAAGGTGCCGTCGTTATCAAAACGTATACAAAGATACAAGATAGAAGTGCTGGCTTGAGTTATCTAGTTCAATGTAAGATACAATGGAGGGTTGTTTAAAAAAATGAACTTTCGGTTTCCATAAAAGGAGGGAAAGTTTTGATAATATAAGTGGCCACCCCCTCGTTGGTGTCTCCACCTTATCGTGGTGAGGGGGTTTGAGTATGCCAAAGAACCGTAGCGTAGCTACTGGCAGGGCCTCCCTTGCTGGACAGGTCAAAGGGTAGGCATCAGACGAAGAGAGACACCAAAAACCAAAAACTGATGCCGGAAGCAGCGTCATCAGCAGCGACTTGAAGAACAGAGCAAATGATGCTCGAGAAGGTTCAAGTTCGTATAGCAACAGGCGTGACCAGAGTGGTTTGAACGGCTGTTGTACTGCAATGTGGAAAGCAAATGGAAAAACTACCACATTATCACTTTTCCTGGATAGTCTTTTTCCAAAAACAGAAGATCGCATTAAGTGGAGGAACTGTTTTGGAAGAGACTGTGGATCTATCGTCTTGACAGATTACTGATGAATGAATGAAGTGGCCATAATTTTTTTAGGAAAGCTTCCCTTCCATGGAACTGAGCTGTTACCATTTTCAATCATTTAGAATGAAGGACTGAGAATAATCTGAGTGTCCAGCTGATCGGAAGGGAAGGGAAGCAAATATGACCTGTTTGACAGCTACAGTCAAGAATTTTTTCCTGAAGGAATTTTGGACAAGAAATATATTGTAACCGTCTACAGCTTATAACACTGCCGGACATCACTGCAACATGCTGGAAGTTGATATTACATGGGTCAGTGAAAACCACTATTCTGGTTACTTTTAATTACAATCACTGTCAGCCTGAGAGGCATGAGAACTTCTGGTGAGGAAGCATAGTACGACTTTAAATCTGTATAATGACAAGGAAGAATTATGATAGGTCCTCTTTATTTTGAAAGAATGAAAAATAACATGATGAAGGCACTTCTGGCTCGTAACAACAACCAATTAACCACCGTTAACCTGCAAGATTAGAGGCTTTCACGGAGAATAAATGTTCTGCAGTCTTCTCCGGCGAGAACATTGAGAACTCAACACTTACATGCCGATAGTCCTAGTACATTTTAGCACATTCTGGTTATATCTTAAAGGCGAATGCAAATATACTGGTAATATTAAAACCATGAAATTCTAATTGTTATAACAACCAAATGTGTTTCTAAACCGATGGTCTGAGGTATAATACAGCTCTCTGCATAATTCTAATGTTAAATATATTGCCATGTGTCAATGACTACAACTTTCCAGCTTTCAATAACGTGGACGACCGTATGTCGACGAGAAAGAAGCAGACTTGCGCTTTCGGTCGCTTCACTCGAAATGTAGTCATGACCAAGTTACAAACTGCAGTTCCTTGCAGCTTAAATTATTTCACATGCTCTAGTGCATAATTCTAGATGCGAATTTTCAGCGTGCATGATCATGCCATGGCCGACCACAGTGATCGCGCGGTCTGAGGCATGAACCGTCTTTTCCCGCTTGAACACTGGGATCGCGGGTTCGAATCCCACTCCGAACATGGATGTCTGTATGCGTTTATTCTGTATTTGTGTTTTCTGTGTGTAGGTAGCGACCTAGCGACGAGCTAGTCCTCTGTCCAAGAAGTCCTACCGACTGGGTATAGATTAGGACACTGATAAAACGCCCAACGTCCACAAAGGCTGTAGAGCCATAGATAGATGATCATGCCATATCTTCCGTTCTAGTGAGAGTAACATATAAAAGGATTCATTTGAACAATTAGACTTGTCGATTATTATCTGTACTGTACAATGCGAGAGTGATAGGGTTCCCGTGAATTGCAAATAGATGAGAGCCGCTGTTCTACTGTATATAATACCAAGCAGACGGCAAGTGCTCTCAATACATGTTTAAACACAGAAGACAGGTTGTAACAGTGTAATAAACTATACAGTGGCATAAGCGCTCCAGCGTATTGTTTATATCCATAACAATTTACCCTCGTAACGATCTGCCACGTCTCGGAAATCTTGTTGTTTATCAGTGTCACGATTTCAACGGGTTGGGTCGCGTCACGAGCGAAAGAAAAGCCAGGAGAAGTGAAGCTAAGAGCATTCTCTGGTTTCGCCCCGACACCTGTCAGATTGTCAGCTTCTGCTTTATCCCTCTGCTCAACATTCTTTTCCTTTTCCTTGCCGATATTCGCAATCAGCACGGAATCAAATATACTGCTATTATATTGGAAGTTATAACAAGGTCTTGCAAGGTTAAAAGGTACCCGATCTATTCAGCTTCTCAATTTCAGACGAATTCCTTCCTTATCCGTGTCACGTTTGAATTCAACGTATAATTTAACATTATGGGAACTTTGCCTAGTGGAACTAGTTCCATAGAACGTATTGTGTAGAAATGGAGGGAGGCTTTTGTGATGCAGTCTCTTTGCCAATAGATTGCAGAACGGATTTACTTCCTCATGTCAAAGTTGAGCAATATTTCATAAGTTGCAAGTCTGTCTGTGGAGAAAAAGAGAGGAAAACAGCCTGAAGAATTAGGAAATATTATTATGGTGCTACAGCTCTTAGTTGGGCCTTGGCCGCTTTTTCAGTGTCTTAATCTATACAAAGTCGGTAGGATCCTTGGGCAGGAGATCAGCCCTTCGCAAGGAAGCTACCTGCACACACAACAACACAAACACAGAATAAGAGGACACAGACATCCATACCTCGAGTGCATTCGAACCAACGATCCCAGCTTTCGAGCGGACGAAGACAGTTCATGCCTTAGACAGCGTGGCGAAGAGTTAGGAATATGAAATATATTACGATTTTTTTCCGAAATGCCGTTCAAATTAACACATAAGGCCTATCGAATACTGAACGTTAATAATGACACTTGTTACAGTCATAAATTTCGGAGGAAAATGACGGCCTCCAAACATGAAGTATAGCTGTGAAATATTGAATAAACAGCAGCAGACAGCTGTCAATAGGTGGTCCTACAGCTTGACGGTTGAGCGTTGTGTTAGCAATCAGTTGCAGTAAAAACAACCGGCCGTTACTAAACGGTGTTCCTGGCCTTGGTAGATTCTTATGAGAATAACACGAACACAGGAGTTCCATATCATAAATATTGGGGAATTTTGTTACCAGTTAAGGGGCTGGAACAAGAAATTTTCT